GATCCGGGTGTCGTTCTATTAGAGGTTTTACGGTAATTTTAAGCCGAGTTACAGAGATTTTTTGAAAAGAAACGCAGAGAAACGAGAGTGTCTGGCTGTCTGCGTCTCTTTATTTGAAATCCTAAAATGGTCATAACTCGGCTCAAAGGCATCGCAAAAACTTAGTTTTTGATTGAAACAGTCTGAAATGTTCAAGATTTTAAATTTCAAGATGACTTCTTCACGCCCATATTTGTCCAAATGTTGGTCAGAACTATCGTTTTCGACAACAGAATCAAATTACAATGTTTCGGTTTCACAAGCATAGTATTTGAAACAGTGATTTTATTTCATTTCAGTGTTTTCTAAAGCTTCATTGATCGTAAAAATAGTATTAAAATACATTTTCAACTGAAAATTATTAGAAAAATAGAAACTATGGCCAAACAAAAAACATAAAATAGTCTTTGGATATTTTAATCGTCGCATGTTTTCCATCCGAATTCCGGACGACATCATATCCAGCATCACAATCAAATGTGCCAGCTTCGAATTGGTGCTCCTGGGTGATTCTGAAAAAAATTATTTCTATTAGAGTGTTTTTTAATGAATTTTTTAGTTAGCTCACATTGACTCGTATGGATAGATTCTCTTCTCTGATAGCTTTTCCACTCGCAACGCCTTCAAAAAATTCCCTTCAGAATTTCCCATCCTATCTTCCAAAACTTGCACAACTTTTTCATAATCAAACGGACGATTGACAGACTGATAAGCAATCATCGAAACCAAATTGTCTATTTTGTTCTCACTCCACATTTTCATTAACACGTTCACATAGAATCCGTTCAAAAAGCAGTTTTCCAATAAGCCATGTTGTCCTTGAAATCGAGTTAATAACAAATTCGCACCAGACTTTGCGTTGCGTTGGATTACCGTAGGTATATGTCGATAATAGTCTTTACTTCCAGTATCCAATATCTCTCGGCTGGATTCAACAACCAATAGATTCATATTTTTTTGTTGGTCGAATAATTCGATTGTACTCGCATTTTCGAGGTATGCATCTGTCATTGTACATTTCTTCACTGTTCCAATGTCAAAGCATTCGGGATGGGTGCCAGACGGAAACATGACGGAAAGGTTGGATGCATCGATATTGAACACATCGCAAACATAGGAGTGAATTGAATGAATTTGGCGACGAGTTGCTGGCCAGTTCCAATCATTGGCTGTTATCGACGGGATGACCACAATATTTTCCAAGAATCTGAAAATTGATTTTTTTAAGTAGGAGGGTCAGGAAATATTCAGAGCTTTTTAATTCAAACTTACTGATAGCTATTATTGACTCTCCAATCAACAAATTGATTCAAAAGTTGATGTTCTGTGAAATCCAAACCCACAACATAACAGATTTTTCTTCCGATTTTAATATAAACAACAGCACGAATCTCATAAATTGGTCTTGATATTTTCACTCCAACTTCATCCACCTTATAGATATTTCGTTTGATAAGCTTCTTTGTTTTCTTCGATGTCATTGACGTGAGAAAAATTTCAGAAGGCTTCATATTGCGAAGAATCTCCTGATTGACGACGTCGTGAAATGATTGTAAGAGAATTCGGTGCATTTTCGATCTGAAGATTAGTATTAGGAAAGAAACACAAAGAGATTAAAAAATTAAGAAAGATAGAGATCAGGTAAAAAACCTGTGAGATTCATAAAAACATATTGTTTAAAAAAAAGAAATCTTCAGTTTATTCAAAAATTCCTATAATTCAAAGGAGAGTAAGACCTTCAATAGAAGGGTACACTAACTTTGACCAAAGTTATCTCGGTTCCTATAAAAGATATCAGACAGAGATTAACTGACAAAATGTAAGTAATAAAATGATATTTTATCAGTTGATCATTTTTTCATATCATTCACAGTGAGCTGGGAAATGGGCTCAAAGTTGAAGGGTTCTTCCATTTTTGGGATATCTTGATCGTCGTTCATTATGTATTCTTTATTTCGTTGATATCATATCCGTTAGTCCCAATTGATTATTTTTGGTGATACTGAAAGTTTCAAAATTTGAAAAACGTTGAGAAAAACATAGTAGAGCTTCCGAAAGCCATCGAGCAATGCTCTTTTTCGAATGAAAAATACGGTATTGTCTAATAGGAGTTACTTGTGAACTTTGAGCTCAATTATCTCAGTTTCTGTGCAAAAAATGAAAAAGTGGTCAACTATTAGTGATACTATGATAAATATTTTATCAGTTGACAAATTTTTGCTATCTCTCATATGAACCGAGATAATTGAGCTCAAAAATACGGTAGTCTCAAAATGAAACTTACATTGACTATTTTATCGCCTCTAAAACCTCCACTTCTTATCAACTGATAAGGATGATCAGGGCCACACAAAAAACATGAAATATTCTCTTTCAATTTTTATCGTTGCACGCATTCTATCAGTATGTCTAACAATGTCCAAACCATCTGAGCAATCGAATGTGTCCGGAGAGAAAGTATGAAAGTTGGAGATTCTGAAAAAAGAAGAACATTAACTTAGCTCCTATCTTTCAACTTTGAGTGCATATATCTCATTTCTGGTGAAAGATATCCAAAAGTGATAAACTGATAGGTTGCTGATAATATGATAAACATTTTATCAGTTGACACATTTTTGATACCTTGCATAGGAATTGAGATAATTGAGTTAAAGCTTGACACTGTCTCCCGATAGTCATCAACTTGTGTGAGGGCCCTTCTATTACAGGTGTTGCGGCAGTTTACTTCTAGATATACCAACTCACTCTGAATTGTAAGAATAAAACCTCTCCTGATTCCATTTCTCAAGCTCCGCCCCCTCGAAGCTCCGCCCCTTTTTCAGGGATTCCCGGCTCAAGGAATACTCTCCATCGTGATACAGCTCGTGTTGATAGGCTATGAACGTCTTCAAGTTTTCCATATCCTTATTAATCCATTTCTTCAAAAACTCCAAGATAACAATTTCCGTGATTTTCGCCTTCTGGAACAATCCATGTTCCCCCTGGAAGTTGAGAAAAAAGGTCCGAACGTTGTGTAAGGAATGTCGAATGATCACATTTGGAACTTTCAACAATGCATGATCATTTTTCATCGTGCTCCAGAATGCTCTCTCCAGAACAGCTATCGATTGCTTCGGTTGGTTTTTGTAAAAGAGGTTGACGTCATCATAGCCTATTCGACTTCTTGGATTGTTTAGAAGCACACTTTTGATCACAGAGCCTGGAGAAAGGAGTCGGAAATTAAACCAATGATCAAATCGAATGGGAAGTTGGGAGGGATTGCATTTGAAAAGATTGCAAATGTAGGAATGGATTTCTTGGAGTTGGATGCATTTTTGTGTGACAGGAAAGGAGGAGTAGAATAGGACAGTGTCGTCGGTGAATCTGAAATCTACAAGTTTTGAAATTTGTTTATTAAAAGCTTTTTAACCTTTTTTTTCGAAAAATTTTACTGTTCCAAAAAAGTTGGATATTTTTCAGAAGGGAAGACGGGGATGTTACGTTAAAAAAATACAGCATAGGATCCTTTAACTTTGAACCCATATATCTCGCTTCCTGCAAAAGATCAAAAAGCGGTCAACAGAAAAAAAATTTATCATTTTATCAATAACATTTCATCAGTTTACTACTTTTTGATATCTCTCATAGAAAATGAGATAAATGGACTCAAAGTTGGTAGCATTCGTTGAGTGTTAACGGTATATTAGAAAGGAAAACCGATATTAGAGAATCCTTTAATTTTGGGCTCATTTTTTTTCATTCCCTATGCAAGATATTAAAAAGTGGTCAACAAATAAAATATTTATCATTTTATCACAGGCATTTTACTAGTTTATCACTTTCTGATATACACTGCGTCACATAATTATAAGTTCACTTTAAATTTTGAATTTTTTCGAAAACTGTGAATATGGACTGAACAGGATATGATTGAAGCAAATACTAATTCGGATTGTCAATTACCATTTGAGACTGCTACCATTTCTTAAATTTGGGAAAATTGAAAAAATCGGAAAAATGGTCCGAAAAAACGTCATATAAGTATAAGTTCACTTGAAACAATGAAAGATAACTCAAAACACAGATTTTTAAAATTTTGTAAAACTATAAAATATAGTGAAAAGGGCTCATAATAATTTTGTTTATGGGAGAAATTTAGCTGTACTTAAAAGTTTAGAATTTACTGATACAGTAGTTAGATTATTTCACAGTTGCGTTCTAGACGTACGATTGGCCTAGAAAGTCATCATTTTTCGCGAAAAATGACCAAATTTCAAGGTCCCAAATATCATTTAGAACTCATTTCATCAATTTGAAAATTTCTCAACAAACTTGAAAAATTGCAGGCATAGTATGCATAAACTTTCATTCTGATAGATTCACTTTGGGGGAAAAAAATCTGTCAAAAACTATACGTTACCAACCTTTGAGAAGGTACCGTATACCTCTCCGGAACGGATTTTTTGAAAAATCAGGTCAACCACATAAACGGAAGTTAAGATTTTTCAAATATGCTGAGAAATTTTTAGATTGATGAAATGAGTTCTAAATAATATTTGGGATCTTGGAATTTGAACACTTTTTCTAACGGATATGATATCAACGAAATAAAAAATGCATAATGAACGACGATCAAAATATCCCAAAAATGGAAGGACCCTTCAACTTTGAGCCCATTTTCCCGATCACTGTGAAAGATATGAAAAAGTGATCAATTGATAAAATATTTATCATTTTATCACTTACATTTTACTAGTTTATCACTTTTTGATATATTTCACGAGGACCGAGATATTATAGGTTTTACGGTATTAAATTTTTTACTGTTTTAGCAAATTTGGATATATTTGACTAGGGAAGAGTAGAATATTTCGTTTTTTGGCCAATATCATCTAAAAGCTGATCGTCTAAAGTTGTTGATTCAAAGTTTTACAACTAAAAAATAAAATCTTGAAACAAATAATCTGACAATCAGACTTTTTACATATTGATGTGCAATACGATATTCTGAATACATGTGAAAGATACTCACTAGATTCCTTTCTCTAATCGAAATAAATATCATATCTTCGAAACAGCAAATTTTGTTAGAAGTTTCGAAATATTGTACTGATTCGAAATTCCAGTCAAAATTTGAGTCCTAAAAGAGTATTCTAGAGTTCTCTCATTGCTTTGAAGTTTTCAGATTGTACTTTTTCAGGACTCCAAAGTTGACTAATTTTCCCGGAAAAAAGTACGAAATCTAATATACTTTTTTGTCGGGTACTGTATGTCAAAATAATCTTGAATTTTGAATCAGTACGATATTTTGAAACTTCTAACAAAATTCGCTGTTTCAGAGTTATTCGATTCTCTTTCACTAGATAAATGAAACTAGTGATTCTCCGACATTTAAGGAAATTGTGTTCTGAATATTTCCTTTATTTTACTCTCAAAAATTTCACTGTTTCAAAAAATTGGAAGGGAAGGCCAGATGTTAAGGGTCCTTTGGTTCTCCCATTGTTCTCATTTGCTATGCAAGATATTGAAAAGTGGTCAACAGACAAAGTATTTATCATTTTATCACTAACATTTTATCAGTTGACAACTTTCCGATATCTTTCACAGGGACCGAGATAATACAGGTTTTTACGGTATTTCATTTTTTCGCTCTTTCACAAAAAGTTGGATATTTTTTACTGAGGAAGGCCGCATATTGGTAGATACAATGTGTGACCTACAATGGCGAGAAGTGGTGAGAAGGATTTTTTCGAACATCCATAACTTTGTTCAAAATTGCTCAATCGACTTGAAATTTTGCATGAGAATTGCTGTGAAATCTAAAAACATAAAAATCGGTTTTTTGAAAATAACCCATTTTCAGAACTTTCAGAGCAGTTTTAGATGTAACAGTGGTCAGAGAATCCAAAAAAAACTTTTTTCAGAGTTTTTTCTAGCTTCGATTTTAGATGTCAAGTGATTTTTAGTGTCTAAATATAAAACTGATAAACAACTAAAAACACATCATTTGTGAAATTTTGAGCATCAAAAATACATTTTCAGCTGAGTTATAGCAAAAATGCCGACACATACATTTTGTGCTTGAGCATCATAACTCGAGAGCCCGACTTTCAAAGTTCTTCAAAATTTTTTTGTGCATTTTTGGACACTGAGAATCATTTGACATTTAAAACCAAAGCCAGAAAAAATTCTGAAAAAAAGTTTTTTTTTGGATTCTCGGACCACTGTTACATCTGAAACTGCTCTGGAAATTCTAAAATGAGAAATTTTCAAAAAAAAAAACCGATTTTTATGTTTTTGGATATTACAGCTACTCTCATGCGAAATTTCAAGTCAATTAAGCAATTTTGAACAAAGTTATGAATGTTCGAAAAAATTCTCCTCACCACTTCTCGCCACTGTATGTCATCTGAAAGCTGATAAATTTCTGATTCCAAATATATTATCAAAAAAGGTCAATATCAAGGGTGGTTTTCGAAAAATTTGGGTTCAAATTATCCAGAAAACACACGGATTTTGAATATCGGAACCTTGAGAATTTGTTGGGGCCGCTCTCTCAAGGAAGAGTCCACAAGTTAGAAAAAAAAACTGTTTCAAAGTTTGTATTTTTGGTTTTCAAATGAAAACTTGTCAATTCTTCCATAAGTTGAATTGCTTTCCAATTATTATAGAACTAGTTTCTCACTGAACAAAAATATATCATCTTCAAACTTTTTTAGTGGAAAGTGATCAACTTTGAAATCCTACAAAAATAATTCAGAATTTTTCGATTTGTCTGAAAATCTCAATTTATACTAAACAAAACTAGAGCTTCAATTTCGTAGTTGACAACTTTTTTGCTACCAAATTAAATCTCTATTTTTGTTCAGTAAAATCTAGAAATTTCCGAGCGATAGGAAAATTCTGGAATCCTTTCTGAGGGCAATGAAGTTGACAAATAGTTTTGATCAGTTCAAAATTTCAAAATTGCTGACAAAAAATTGCTGTTTCAGAGTTTTAAAGTTAATTTCATCTAAAAAATGAGACTGATGATAGAGCTTGAAGCCCGTTCAAACCGTCAACTTTAAGCTTAAATATCTCCATTCCTGTAAATGAAATCAAAATTTTGTTAACTGATAAAATGTTGGTAATAATATGATAAACAATTTATCAGTTAACAAAAGTTTGATATCTTTGACAGGAACTGAGATAATTGAGCTAATTGAGATTTATGCACGGTGCCCTGCAGCGACAAAGTAGAGAAATGCGCCAGCACGCAAAGTGCGCAAAGTCGGGCTTGGCGCATTTGTCGTGCACTGATTATTTTGGAATTTTTTCAACTGAAATTTGATGTTTTATCGATAAAAACGGTTTTAGTCGCATTTTCGGAAAATCCTTCTACAGAAATATTCATCAGGGTCTCAATCATCGAAAAAATGTAACAGTTTCTCTGAGTTTTCATCTACAATGGCTGGAAATTCTCTCAAAAATGGGAAACTGTCGAAGGTGTCGGTAGTTCGTGTTGGCGAACCCAATCGATCAGATGACGGCGATTCTGAAGAAAAATGTCTGAAATAGGCTTATCTGAGCTTCTAAAATTTGTTCTCTCATAATTTTTACAAAATTTTCTTTAGCATCATCAAATTATTTCCAGCCATTGTAGATGAAAACTCAGAGAAACTGTTACATTTTTTCGATGATTGAGACCCTGATGGATATTTCTGTAGAAGGATTTTCCGAAAATGCGACTAAAACCGTTTTTATCGATAAAACATCAAATTTCAGTTGAAAAAATTCCAAAATAATCAGTGCACGACAAATGCGCCAAGCCCGACTTTGCGCACTTTGCGTGCTGGCGCATTTCTCTACTTTGTCGCTGCAGGGCACCGTGTTATGATTTTCAATTTTAGAATGCAATTCAAAGTTTGAAAATGTACTCACTCATATCTCGTATGCGTTCCCCACTTGACCATCTTATGCTCCCCTTCTTGAAATTCCATCTCTCCGAGGTACAGTATCCTATAACTAACTCCCTTGACACGAATCGTGAAAGTCACCCTTCTATCACATCGAGTGTCCATAAACTCCATCCAAACCTCTTCTGCTTTGTATAGATTCTTTTTTACGAGGCACTTCACGTCTTCTGATGACGTCAGAGAGAGTAGGAACACTTCTGAAGGGGATAGTGTCAGGAGTAGACGTCGAAGGATGAGGTCAGGGAAGGAAAGGATTTCCATTCTGAAAAATTATTAGATTCTGAAAATTTTGATTATTTTAGGAGGAATCGAAGACATAAATCAGGTTCTATCAGCCTGTAGGAAAAAGTTGAAATAACTCAAAAAATAGGTTTAACAAAGATAACAAGTTTTATTTAGTCAGTGTTTGATAACAAATGACAGGTAACAACTGACAATAAGAATTTGAGAATCATGGCCATACAAAGAACATAAAATAATTTGGGGAAACTTTAACGGTTGCTCGTTTTCCATCTTCTCTGACGATATCATAGCCATGCTCACAATCAAATGTGTCCGTTGGGAAGACGTAGTGATTCGCGATTCTGGAAATTACATAAGCTGATTATCATGAAAGTGTGTTAAGAATTTGGACCAGTCTTACGGTAGAGAGCATCTACTAACTCTAGTGTACCTTAACAGAGGCAAGAGCGCTCAGTGAACTCTGAAATTTGGAACAAAACTCACATTGAATCATACTTGAAGTATCTATCCCTTTTCTCTGGATCCCAATCTTCCACCCTTGACTCAGTGGTAGAGTTCCTTTTCTCATTCAAAAGTGCCACTACACTAGACTCATCAAAAACTTTTTGAGCATCTTGGAACGCGATGAGTGCCACCAAATCTTCCTTCATTTTCAACATCCAACGCAGAATGAATATTCTGGCAAGTCCGTCATCCAGCCATGCATTCTTTAATACGATATTTCGTCCTTCATAAAGGTAAATTGCATCGTCAACATTATATTTGACATCGTCAATCATAAGATTTGGGATTTTCCTATAATTAGTTGGTAGGATACCCAAATTCCTGAGATTGCAAAAGTCTACATCCATCAGAAACTGAGCTGAAAACTCTTCAGGGAATTCTGGATTCTCCATGGAATCAATGACTGGAATTCGGCTAGATTCACATTTGAATATTTCACAAATGTAATTGTGATTCGTGAGGATCTCGTGGTACTGTTGAACGGCTGGTGAACGGAGCAAGACCATATTTAATGAAAACCTGGAATAAAATCTTCAATTCATCTTCTTTTTTTGAAAATAAAACACTCACCTATACCATATATTTTCACTTGGTGCCAAATCATGACGGAGACCCAACACTTTGTGAATTTTTCCATCAATTTCGATTATAAAAGCCACATATGAACTGACATCGATCCAAACTTGGTCCACTTTGTAGATGTTGTTCTTCACCAAATCCTTCATTTTCTTTGATGTCTTTGAGAGCATAAAATTTGCCGATGGATCCACTTCTAGGATAATTTGTCGGTTGACAAGACATGGGTAGGATCGCATGCGCATTTTCTTCTTTCGAGAGAGTTCAGGTTCTGAAAATTAGGTGAGTTGAAATATCGAAACCTCTGAGCGATTTGAAAGAAGAAACGAGTAAAATAAAATTGCCGTTTCAAAAACTTTAAACGTTGAAATTTGATGGGTGGGTATTGTTGACTGATAGATATCTCCAAAGATGACATACTCTTGATACACAACCTTTAAAGCCAAGTTCTGTTAGCTAGAGGACAGATTGAGAATTCTACCTTTTTTCGCTACATACAGCTAGACCGCGGTCGACTGCGGTCGACAATTAGCTCAGCAGGTAGTAGTTGGTTCAGATGTGTATGTATTCTAAAGCGAGAATTTTCGTACGGACAACGGACTGTCAAAAAGGGACGGACGGACAACGGATGGATAACGGACGGAAAAATTCAACAGACGATACAATTTTCCGTTACATCATTTCAAATAAGAAAAAAAGTAGGTTTTACATTCATTAATCAGAAAGCACTGTTGGAATCCTTTGGAATTCTCGCGCTTATTTTTTCTCCTATTCTTAAATTAATTGTAAGGCCATCAAGATTATCAATTGAATTCGAAGAGTTGAAGGTTTCATGGGAAAGTTTCGAAACGGAAAAAGTTATTTATCAGTTTAAAAAAAATAGAAAATTTGTTATCTCGAAAAAAACAACTTGTTTTGCCATACGGATTCCTACAAAAATCTTGATTCTTAAACCTCAAAAAATTGAAAAAGGAACTGTAAAACACAAAAAATATGTGTTTTTGCCAACGAAATCAATAAACATATACAAAGAGTAAGATGGAGAGAGAGAGGTAGCCAACAGGCAGTTGGGACCACAAACAGGCAGAGAGAAATAATGTGGGAATTGGGAGAGACACGGGGAACAGTCAGAAGGACCGTTCGTCGAAGAACTGGGTCATGTGTGTCTGCAGTCTCTCTTCTGGTCATTACGCAAAAATTTGATGGTCCCTCTTTTCTATGGATGACGTCAGAATGCTATTTTTTCCCTTGTTACTGCAGCATCACTGAAAACGAGTACATTGTAAATTTTCCCACCGATTTCGATTACAAAAGCGACATTCGTACTAGAATCGACCCAAACTTGGTCCACTTTGTAGATATAATTCTTCACCAAATCCTTCATTTTCTTTGATGTCTTTGCGAGCATAAAATTCGCCGATGGCTCCATTTGTTGAATAATTTGTTGGTTGACTAGATTGGGGTAGGATCGGATGCGCATTCTTCTGAAAAGTGTATTAGTACAGAAATATGTGAATGATTTCATTAAAGAAACGAGTTAAAACAAAATGTATTACTCAACTATTCAACTGAAAAAAGATATGATTAACTTATCAATCATAAAAAACTATATCAAAAATTCAAGAGCGCTCAAAAGGTCTCGAAAGAGATATCGAAGAAACCGGAAAAAGTTAGCGTTTCAAAAACATGTTTTTTTTTCTGTTTCATAATTTTGAAAATAGAACAAGTAGGTTTTGAATTCATTAAGAAAAAAGTCTCTTCTAAAATTTTTTCGATTTCTCGCGCATGTTTTTCCTCTCAGTTTTAAACGAAAAACAGTGAAATGGGCAACTACATTATCTTCAAAATGTTGAATTTTTATGTAGAAGTTTTGACACGGGGACTGTTTTTCTAAAGCTGCAAAACACAAAACAATCGCTATTGGTTTTTTTGTCAACGAAATTAATAAACATGTGCAACGAGTAAAAGAGGGGGAGAGGTAAGCAACGAGTCGGGACCATGAACAGGCAGAGAGAAATAGTGTGTGAAATAGGAGACACAGGGAACTGTCAGAAGGACCGTCTGTTGAAGGACCGGGTCATCTGTGTCTGCCCTCTCTTTTCTGGTCATTACGCAAAAAGATGGTCCCTCATTGTTAATGATGACGTCAGAATGACATGGTTCTGTTGGTTCTGTTGGTCGTCATAACCTGTAGGAAAAAGCCAAAAAGTCGAAAATGAGGCAATGAAAAGGAATGTTTCTGAAGGGAACGAGAGTACCAAAAGCATCTAATATGCGTAAAATGGTTTGTAGAAAATTAAAAAATAAGAGAAAAATAGAACAATTCAGAAATGGGATTCGTCTCTTGCAACCGCTGCTCAAAAGAAGTCTATTGTATCTCGGTTTTTTTCCCATAATTTTTGAAACAGTAATTTTGTGCAAAACTTTTTTTTTGAGATTCAAGAAGCTCCCTCTCTCTCCATTCCCAAAACTTGGTTTTATTCGGGGTCAAATAACAATTTCCCCTTTTCTTTCGCTCTCTCAAAAAAGGATTATTTGTTCTCGTTTCTCTACGTCTCTAGGGGCAAAAGCATCATTATTATTATTATTTGACCAAAAAGGAAGCTTACTGCTCCATGACCACTGGTCACTCACACACTACTTCTCCGCCTCACTACTTCAATTTTTTTGAGAGAGAGAAATTCTCTTGAAGTGGATTCTTTTCCTCCATTTTTTCAAACAAAAATGAAGGCGATTTTTGGACTTTTTTAATGTTTCAAAAATGTTCGAAGAAAAATTTGAAATTCGCGAAAACTAGTAGACTGAATCAAGATCAGAGCTTCACTGATAATTATTATAATCAGTTGAATCAATCTTTATTTTTCAACTTTTTTCACTTTTTCAATGGAAAATTTCAATTTCCTTGGATTTGTAGTGTACTGTTACACTCACTATCAGTATTTTAGAAAATAATTGATTTCGAAAAATATTACTGTTTCAATAGAAATCGACGAATTAAACAAAAAATAATTAATTAGTAAATGCACTCCATAACCTTCCTCCATTCTCTAGAATTTTTTTTTTGAATATTTCCTCGAATTTTTGCTCAATGAGCCATTTCGAGGAATGAAACGCATGAAATATCTAACGCTTTCACCGGATAAGCTACGCTGTGAAAGATGAAAAATATGTTTTACTGTTTCAGACAAGATTGAAGATTGCAATTTTGACTTTAAGACTGGTTCCATGAGTATTTACAATACCTGTTGTCAAATTTGTGTATTTTTAGTGGAAAATAGTCAAATTTTAAGTCCTAAGAAATTTCCAGAATTATTCAATTTGAATGAAAATTTCAAGAAAGTTTTAGTTTTGAAATCAAAGGATTTTTTCCGTGCAAATTCAACAAAATGAGATCAAGTGCTCATTTTTGAGCATATCTCCTTAAATTGGAATACGACGAAAAAGTTATCAACTACAAAAGTGAAGCTCTTGTTTTGTTTAGTATACTCTGAAATTTTCAGACAAATTGAAAAACTCTGAACTACTTTCGTAGGGTTACGAAGATAACTATAATTTTCTGGAATTTCTGAATTTCTGATTACAAAATTTACTGATTCATTTCTAGAAGCTAACTGAAATGTATTTTTTCCTCTAGTTCCTCAAACCAATTTCTATAAATTTTTCTCAGTACTGTAGATTTTTAATTCTCAAATTTCAATTGGTTACTCAAAATTTCATAATAATGCTCTGTTAGTCACCATTTTGCTCATTTTTCCCCTCTTGAACAAAAAAGAAAACATTGCTCATGTTTCGTTTTCTGTTTACCTCCGCAGGGGGTCACAAGTTTTTTGTGTGCATTTTCATTCATTTTCTCTCATCACAGTATTCTTCATTTGTCTGGAATTCCAGAGAAAAACTGGTATTAAAAAAATGGAAAATTATTAAAGTTTCTTCTGGTATTCAGACATGGGAAATTTCAAGATCTTAAATTCAGAATATTCATTCTGAAGTTTGGTCATTATGGGAGACGATTAACATTTGAAAAATTATAGAAGTTGGATATTTCAATTCTGAAACAGTAATTTTCCCAAAAAAATTATTATTTCTTCTGTTCCATATTTTTCCGAAATTCAATCGAGATAGCCCGTCATAAAAACTCAAATTGATTTTTAGAAAAAGTATTTTTTTTTCAAAAAAAAGGTCTAATTTTCTAATTAAAATTAGGTGAACACTTCCAAAAATTTCAAAACTAAAAATTCCAATTTTGACACAGATATTTTTTTTTCAATTTATTCTTTATTGGAATTCAAAAGGGGTTTTAATGATAGAAAGTGCACGCTCTCCCCAGCTCCCAATATGAACTGCAAGCCTTTTTCTCAGCGGAGCGTGGTTGCGCGCGGCGAAATTTTTATTTTTTAAATTTTGTACTGAAAAACCGGTTTTTAGCAAAATTTTCTTATTTTTCGCCAATTTTTTCAATTTTTTGTCTATAGGAATTGTTAAACCGGCTAAAACACACATTTTAAGTACAAAAGCAGCAAGTTCCGACAAAAAATTAAAGAGGAAATAGATTTTTAAGCAATTGTCTAAAAACGAAAATTTCTCAAATTGTTCGGTGTTTTAAGAATTTTTTTTGTTAAACTATTGTAAAGAATTCATTTTGGAGTGTTTCGAACTATTATCCGCCAAAATGCTCTACCGGTCAAAAAAGATATTGCGATTTTTAGAAAATTGCTTAAAAATCTATCTCCTCTTTCATTTTCTGTCGGAACTTGCTGCTTTTGTACTTAAAATGTGTGTTTTAGCCGGTTTAACAATTCCTATAGACGAAAAATTGAAAGAATTGGCGAAAAATAAGAAAATTTTGCTAAAAACCGGTTTTTCAGTACAAAATTTAAAAAATAAAAAATTTCGCCGCGCGCAACCGCGCTCCGCTGAGAAAAAGGCTTGCAGCTCATATTGGGAGCTGGGGAGAGCGTGAAATGGGAAAAAGAATTGTGGAAAACGCGCCTAACAGACTATGTAAACTTCAGTTGACTATCAGAAGTAAAATTTTTGAAACAGTAAAGTTTGTAATCTAGGAATCCATAATCTAGAAAAGAAAGTGTTGGGCTCGAGTTTTGTTTTGGAAAACTACAGTACCCAGGCAAAAATGTATCATATTGTGACTTTTTTCAGTGGAAAATAATAGCTAACTTTGGAGTCCGAAAAAAATATTCCACAGTTTTCGAATTTGTCTGAAAATTCCAGAGTATACTAAACAAAAATAGAGCTCCGGAAACCGGAAAGTTTGAACCTTTGAAGTTTGAAAGTTCTAACCGGAAAGTTTGAAAAAGTTTTTAATTATTGTTTCAAAAATTTTAATTTAAAAAAGAAGTTTGAATTTTTACAATGGTCCGTCCTGACTGAACTTAAATAATCTAGCTGAATTTCTGAAAAAAATATGAAATAAATGAAAAATTACAATTTCAATGATAATTGCTAGCAATAATGTTCAAGTTTCTGAAAAACTTGAAATAAAATAAACAATTGCTGTTTCGAAATTGAAATTTTTAATTTCTATATTTTTTTTCAATATTCCTAAAGGAAAAATTAAAATAAGTGCTACAAGAAATGTTCTAAACCAGTCGGTTTACGCCCCTCCGGGGCTAACCCTCCTAAACCTTTACTGTGGTGAAACAAAGGAACGTCTCCAGAAGACTCCAAAATCAAAATTTCGGAAAACGGAAAGTTCGGGCGTCAACTAAGACAAACTTCTGATCTATCTGTCCAGGTTTCAGCTCAATCGGTTAACTTTGAATGGGTTAAAAGGCGCGCGACATACATCCGGACATACAGAATTTGTTGAATGTTATTAGTAAGGATGTTTGATAAAAATCAATATTTTTGCTGTTACAAGAATTTTATTTTCAGAAAAAAAATTAGAATTCAAATGATGTTCCGTTTCCCAACTTTAGCAATCTTTTTTTTTTCAGTTTTCCCAGTAAATAATTTTTTAATGATGGAATTAGAAAATTAATGTTTCAAAATTGAAATTTCTAATTTTTAATAATTTTTGGAAATTTTGTTTCTTGATATTGGTTATTAAAAATAGTTTACAATGCCAAATTAACATTTGTTAGATATGCCCGCTTCGTCTGTGATCAACAAGTTTCAGAATAACTTTCTGAAATTTGAAGTCTCTAATTCTCATTTTGGAAGAATCAGTTACAGTTTTTACAGTATTTTCAATTTTTCTTGGATAAAAATTTACTGTTTCAACAACTATATTTTTCAAAGCAAATTAAGTTTAAATGATGTTTCTCGGTTTAAAGGAGGCGAGACAGCAAAAATTTCGGGGGACAGTTCGGGGGACGAAATCGCGCCGCGCTTATGTAGACCATCGGTCGTCAGGCGCCTTCGCGCCCCCGTAGCTCAGCCGGTAGCGGCGCTGTACCCCTGAGCTGCCTGAGTTCAACCCCTCATGGGGGTTCTCTATACAAAATATCAGGATAACTTTTT